CACCCGCACCTCCGCCGCCCTGGCCGCCGCCACCCGCCCCTCCGCCGCCCTTGCCACCGCCCCCCTCCGCGCCGCCCTCCCAACCGCCTCCCACGCCGCCGCCACCCGCCCCTCCGCCGCCCTCGCCGTCGCCGCCGCCATCGCTGTCGCCATCGCCGCCGCCTCCCACGCCGCCGCCACCCGCCCCTCCGCCGCCCTCGCCGCCGCCGCCACCCGCCCCTCCGCCGCCCTCGCCGCCGCCGCCACCGCCTTCGCCAAGTCCGCCTCCGCCACCGCCTTCGCCAAGTCCGCCTCCGCCACCGCCTTCGCCCAGCCCGCCGCCGCCACCGCCTTCGCCCAGCCCGCCGCCGCCTTCGCCCAGCCCGCCGCCACCACCGCCTTCGCCACGTCCGCCGCCGCCGCCGCCTTCGCCGAGTCCGCCGCCGCCAACATGGGAGCTGATCGGAGTTGCACCAGCAGCCCTTCGGCAGACCCACCACACGTTTGGGTTCGCACTCGGCGGCTACGGCCACTTGGTGACGGGATCCAAGTACGGCGCCGGCAGCAACGCCTACGCCACGACATACACCGACGCCTTCGAGCGGTGCGACCTTGCGCACACACATTTCCGCCCACCTCCCCACCTCTCCTGCAGCCCGCGGGGGCAGCCCTCAACATCACACCCTCCCTCACAGGTATGATCCCGCCTCGGGTCAGTGGAGCGGTCTCGGCCCCTTCCCTGGCGGCGCGCGCAGCTACGCGATCGGCGACGTTCATCCCTCGCTCGCGTCGGTCTACTTTGGATTTGGCAGATCGGCGACGGTCATCTTTCGCGACCTGTGGCGATACGACGGCACCTCGTGGACGCAGCTTGCCTCCTGCCCACCGGGGTGCGAGCGATTCCACCCCGCGTTCGTCGCGCTGCAGACGAAGGTCTTTGTGGCGGCGGGCTCTAGCTATGGCGGAAACTTGAAGAGCGCGTGGGCGTACGACATTGCGCGGGACGAGTGGGAGCAGCTGCCCGACCTGCCCGGCATGGCGCGTCACCATCCCTACCAGTTCCTCGCCGCGGGGCAACCGCACGTGTTCGGCGGTCACGGCAACGGGATCTACCGCGATTTGTACCGCTGGACGCTCAACGCTGGCACGGGCAGTTGGGAGCGGCAGGTGACGCTGCGGGCCTCGCTGCCCTCCGGCGCTGAGGGCCGCGTAGCGGGCACGCAGTTCAGCGCGGGCGGCAGCGGCTACGTCCTCTCCGGCGACGGGCAGGACCACCGCTCGATGGTGCAGGGCGAGTTCTGGCGGTACAACGCGGGCACCGACTCGTGGGAGCAGCTCCCTTCCCACCCAGGCGCCTCCCGGCCCGCGCGCGCCGTTGCGCGTTGGCGTTTATTCTAGCGCGCCTCCCGCCCTCCTGCGCGCGCCCGCGGCCTTTACTTACTCTTGATTCTCCTTTGCGTGGGTGTTCGACATACTCGTCTTGACACTCGCGGTAGGCGCCTCGCGCTGGGCGCCCGCTTCCTTTGTGCTCGGCGGCTTCGTGTACTTGTACAACGGGCTCGAACGGCTGCCAGGCGAGGACCCCTTCTATCCAACCACGGCCTACCGCTTCCAGCTCCCGCTCTAGCAAAGAGCGTTTGCGGTCCGTGATGAAGACCGACGTCAAAGCTTGCCATCGCAAACACCACGTTGTATTCTTTTATCTTCGTGCCCAAAGAAAGAAAGAAAGAAAACACACAACCCAAGGGAGGGATGATGGGAGAACGGCACGCCGCCACCACACAGGGATTTTAAGGAGAGGAGTGTGGTGCGCTAGCCGTCGCCCACCCTGGGGAGTCTGCCTCTTCGTATCTCTTTTCGCAGTCTCTCGCCGCTTCTCGCTGCAACCTTCATGCCACCTCGCGGCCGTCCCACTCTCGTCGGTCTCTCCCTTGTCACTTCCTCCTCTGTCGCGTCGTTCTCTTCTGCCTCGTCCTGCGACGCCGCCGCCTGCCGGTCCCTTGTTCTCGCGGCTTCTTTCGCCTTCGTGCCCAGTGTTGTGCGAGAGTGATGCGAAAATTCTTTTATCTTGAGCGTGGGCGCAAGTTGCACATGTTGCTGTCGCCAGCCTCCGCCCTCGCGGCCGCGGAGAACGCCGTTTGCTACTTCGACGATGATCATCAGTACGAGACGGCTTCCGAGCACTCAGGAGACGACGAACCTAGGTTACCCTTCAGCGCGAGGCTCGCCGCCGCAACCACCGCCGCAATCGCCAATGACATGAACGGTGGTGACCGTGCAGCGCCCTGCCTGGTGACCGATCTCGGCCGCATCGCCGGCGCAAGGTGGAGCGAGATGGACGCAGAGGCAAAGGCTCCGCGGGAGGCGGAGGCGAGGGAGCACAAGGAGCGGTATGAGGCCGAGAGAAGGGCGCACCAGGACAAGCACGCCGCCGCCGCTGCAGCCGCCGCCGCCGCAGCCGCAGCCGCAGCTGCCGCCGCCGCCGCCGCCGCAGCCGCCGCCACCGGCGGCTCGCACCCCCCCTCCACAACTGTCGCCGCCGCCGCTGCAGCCGCTGCCGCTCTCCCTTCCGCTTCGGACCCTCCCGTGCCCGCCGTGCAGCGAGGAGTGCCCGAGGTGGGAGGGCAGGCGCGAGGGCAGCCGCAGGGACGCAAGCGACCGGCAGCGGATGACCCGTACGGCCGGACGTATGCCGAGCAGCTGGCGGCGGTGCGAGCGGCTCACAGGGCCAGGTTCGAGGCGCAGCGAGGCGCCGCCTCCCGAGCGGCAGGGGCCTCCTCCCGCCGGGCCGGCCTCAGCTCTGGGCATATGTGTATATGTGTATATAGGCCCGGCCTCGAGTCTAGCCTCGGGCTCGGCGGCGGGCGCGTCGGCAGCGGCGGCGGGCCCTTCTGCAGGTGGGGGCAAGTACGCCGGGGAGAGCGAGGCCAAGGAGCAGTGCCAGGCTTCCGGCCGGCCTGGCCGAGCCCGCGAGTCTGCCGCTCACCCGCTGCACCCGAGAGGCTATTGCAATAGGCCTTCAACTGCCTCGTCAAGCCGAGGCTCGACGGGCTGCTGCGAGGGGTGCCTCCGCCCCCCCCCCCCC